CCCGGTCCGGGAAGATCCCACGTGCCACGGAGCGGCTGGGCCCGTGAGCCTCGGCCGCTGAGCCTGCGCGTCCGGAGCCTGTGCTCCGCAACGGGAGAGGCCACAACGGTGAGAGGCCCGCATACCGCAAAAAAAAAAAAAAGAAAGGTGGTAACAGACTGACCTTTCCTCACTCAGGACTGGAGGCTGTCGTCATTGGAGAAGTTCACGAGAATATCACTCTGCGCTGTGGCAACATCTTGGGACCGAGGGGCCTCATAACCTGGTACCGCAACAACTCGGAGCCTGCCTTCCTCCTGTCCTCCAATTCCAGCCTCCCCCCAGCCCAGCCACGCTTCTCTCTGGTGAATGCCAGCTCCCTGCACATCGAGGCGCTGAGCCTGCAGGATGAAGGGAACTACACCTGCTGGGAGGTCCTGAACGAGACTCGGTGGTTCCAGGTGTGGCTGCAGGTGGCCAGTAAGTGGTGGGTGGTGACTGAGACTGGCTGGCGTGGCACTCAGAGCCTGGGACCCGAGGGGGCCTTTGGAGTCAACGGCCTGGGTTTCATTCTGGGCTCTACTACCTGCAAGCTAAATGACCTCTCATACCTGTTATTTCCTCATCAGTATAGTGGAGATAAAAGGGATTCTTGCCTCATAGAATTGCTGTGAGGAATAGATCCCAGTTTATCTATATACAGTGCTGTAAATGGCTTCTGGCATATTAGTTAGCTTGTTAATATCATCCTCACTATCAATCTCATTTTATTATGCAACAAAGTCAGAGTATAACATAATCAAGTCAGACTGACTGAGTTCCAATCCTAAGGTTAGGTCACCTTGAGTGAGTAAGTAGCTTAATATCTCTTTTTCAGTAGCTTTGGTTTTTCTTAGTTGTTAATTGGGGACAATGCATTGCATACCTTATCAGGTATATGCTCTTATGCTGTTGCGCTAAATGCAGGGCTTGGTATGAGCTACTGTTACTACTGTCTTTCCTATATCAGTCTATCATGTCTGTCAATATATATGCATGAATTTAGAGCAAGGGTTGGAAAATCATGACCTGTGGACCATTTCTAGCCTGTTGCTATTTTTGTATGGCCTGCAAGTGACAAATTTTTTTTTACATTTTTAACGGTTGAAAAAAATCAAAAGAATATTTGTGACATGTGAAAATTATATGAAATTCACATTTCGGTGTCCATAAATAAGGTCTTATTTGAACACAGCAACACTCATTCATTCACATGTTATCTCTGACTGCCTTTAGTGTTACAACCTCAGAGCTGAGTGGCTGTGACACTGATTGTATGTCCTGCAGGGCCTAAAATATTTACTCTCTGGCCCCTACAGAAAAATTTTTTGGTCACTGGTTTAGAGGGATATCCACATTCTATACCCAGGGCGTGTCATTGAGTAGAAATACCCATGTGATCACTATTGCTCCCTGATTTTCTCATCTATAAATTATTTACTCATTCCTTTAGTCAATATGTATTTATTGAGAGCCCAATGCCAGGCACTATTCTAGGCACTGGGCCACAGGAATGGACAGGTCAGAGAAGGTCTCTACCCGTGTGGAGCTGACATCCTAGTAGGAGAAGACAGACAATAAGCACGGATGATCAGTGATGGTGAACATCTTTTCATGTGTCTGTTGGCCATCTGTATGTCTTCTTTGGAAAAATGTCTATTCAGTTTCTCTGCCCATTTTTTAATATTTTTTATTTTTTTGATATGGAGGTGTATGCAATAAAGACTTAAATGTTAGACCTGAAACTATAAAACTTCTAGAAGAAAACATAGGCAATATGCTCTTTGACATCAGCCTTAGTACTTTTTGTTTTGGATATGTCTTCTTAGGCAAGGGAAACAAGAGCAAAAATAAACAAATGAGACTACATCAAACTAAAAAGCTTTCTGCACAGTGAAAGAAACTGTCAACAAAACAAAAAGGCCAATTACTGAATGGGAGAAGATAGCTGCCTATGATATATCTGATAAGGGGTTAATATCCAAGATATACAAAGAATTGTAAGTGACCTTGAACGTGTGAATGGACAGAGATGCTGCAGAAACATGAAGCTGGCTGTATGAGGGCCGGGAGCTTTCTCCCTCCTTACCACCTGGATCTCTGCTTATCCATCAGTGGGCATTTGGTTGCCTCTGCCTTCTAGGGAGTGAGGTTTTCAATAGGCCTGTGGTGATACAACCTGTCTGGAATGGGCACTGCAATGTGACTTTGTTATTCATCTCAGGAGTAAGAACTCTGCACTGTTCCTTGTTAATTTAATGATGCAATTGAGAGTCTTGCCATTGAGATTGGGACCGCTGCTCCTGAGGGTACAGAAATCCCTTAGTCCAGAGCAGTTCAGGATTGCCACAGCTGTTTATTTCACTGACTTACCTACCCATCTGCTCCTGCCTCCAAGTCAGGTGGATACGAGGTTAGAACCACTGTGTGTTTACCTGCAGAAAGCCTGGAGTGGGTGGAGTGGGTAGCACAGACCTTAACATATTCCAGTAGAATTTGTGCTTCTTTCAAGAGGTGATCCCTTAGCCACTGGGGAGCTGAGTGGTACACAATGCCAGACTCTCCCTGTGTCTATTTTTCTCAGGCCCAGCAAGTGTTGAGGGAGCATTTGAGTTGGTTGGCACATGGGCAATGAGGAAACTGGTTTGTATCAACCTCCAAGAGCCCCTTTGGATTTGGGGTTTGGAGGATGGGAGTGCTCCTGTTTAGCTAATGATGTGGCTGCCACTCCCAACTTCCAGGAAAGGGAGTCTCAGGAAAGCCCCATGTTCCCCGACTAACTGGGCCCATCTGATTTGTACTCGTTCTGTGATGGTGATGGTGTCACTGTGCCATATCACAACATAAGGTCCTAGGGAAAGGGGATGTTGGGCATACTGAAGAAAGATTGCTGGCCCCGTCAGAAGATGGGATGAACTTTGCCCAAAGATTGATTAACCTGAGTCTTGCCAAGCTCATCTGAAGCAGAGATGTATGCTTGTAAGAGGCTGAGGACCTCTGGGTTTTGGTCTTCTGGACAGAATCAGTGGTCACTAGGGAGGTGGGGAGGCAATGGGGTTGTTATATTCACCTCTATGTTCCATCGCCTTCTTTTTTTTTTTTTTAATTTGGCTGCGCCACACAGCTTGCAGGATCTTAGTTCCCTGACCAGGGATTGAACCTGCGCCCTCAGCAGTGAAAGCGCAGAGTCCTAACCACTGGACCACCAGGGAATTCCTTATGTTCCATCTCTAGGTGATATCAAAACACTCTGTAAGTTTCCCCAAGGATCTTGTCCCACTGTGGAACAATAGGTACACCCACTGGTTAGCAGAGGCTAGTCAGTACATTCTTAGGTCATTTTCAAATAAAAATGCTGGTGTGAAGAATAAATGTAGGAAAATAACTTTTTGTATTGTCAAAGAACCCAAGATACGAAGATGGGAATCTCCTATTTTGTGGGTCCCTGAGATGTAAATTTACTCTTTGAGACACTTGACTGGCCAACCTATAGTTATGGTGGGGAAGGAAAGAAGTGAGTTCTGATGTCAAGAATGACTACAGAGAACAGGAAGGCAGCAGCAGTAGTGGATTGTTGTAGAACAGGAATCAAACTTTTTCTGTAGAGGCCAGACAGTAAATATTCTAGTCTTTCTGAGTCAACAGGTAAAAACGAGGATATCATATAAGTACTTATATAACAAGAGAGAAAACAAATTTCCACATGTTTTTTTGTTGACAAAATTCAAAATATAATAATAACTGAGTACATTTTTTTGGGGGGGGGATGCACCACGAGGCTTGCAGGATCTTAGTTCCCCAACTAGGGATTGAACCCAGGCCACTGCAGTGAAAGCACCGAGTCCTAACCAGTGGACTGCCAGGGAATTCCCATAACCTAGTACATTTTTTTGGTAGTGCAGGCCTACTAATGAGAAGAATGGGAATCTTTGGGCGGGGGGTGGGGGTGGGGGATAACATTTCACTTAGTTGGGGTTCAAAGTTAGTGTTCTCTCTCATCAAATTGATTGTGGATGTTCATCTGTACATACAGTCTTAGCTTGTAGGCTGTACAAAAACAGACAGCGGGCCGTTGTTTGCCGATGCATGTTCTAGAATCAATCTACAAGTATACTACTGTTAATAATGTCAGATAACATTCATAGAACATTGACCACATGTCAAACACCAGGCTAAGTGTTCTGCTTATATTCTCTCATTGGATCCTTCAATAACCTGGTGATAGAAGTTATTCCTGTTCTTTTCATTTCATAGGAAGGACAGGAGAGTGAGAATAGGAGGGATGGACACTTGCTCAAGGTTGTCTGTCTAGAAGTGGCAGTAGAATTTACACCCAGGTCTGTCTGAATGCAGAGTCCAAGTTCATAACCACTAGGCTAAGGCATCCATCCAAGAAACTGACATGACCAAGGCCTCCATAAGATGCTGAACCTTTGTAAACACGCTGTATTTTTATTTATTTGCTGTTTTATTTTTGTTTCCTCTCCTATCTGTCTGTCTCTCCGAGTGATTGCTACCATCACCCTGCAAGCAAAAAGGGCTGGTGGTTTCTGTTTAGGAACATCAGCGGGGTGGAGAGAGAGGTGAGAGGGATGGAAATGGGTACCGCCTTCTTTTTAGTCAGAGTAAGGGAAGAACCCCAGGGATTTAAGAAGATGGTGTCAGCTTTAATCAAGAAAGCAGACTCAACCCAAAGGTTTATAAAAAAGCTGTAACCTTTGAACATTTAATTCAGAAGGCGCTTCAGGTTCTCTCATTTGATTTTTTTTTTTTAACCCTTTCGCCTACAGCGTTCTCATCCATTCCCTTTATCCAAACCCATGTTTTGCTCAGCATTGTGTTGGTCAAAAGCCCCTCCCAGGGAATTCCTTGGTGGTCCAGTGGTCAGGACTCGGTGCTTTCACTGCCAAGGACGAGGGTTTGATACCTGGTTGGGGAACTAAAATCCCGCAAGTCACATGGCGCAGTCAAAAAAAAAAAAAAAAAGCCCCATCCCAGCCAGTTTCTGGGGGTCTCACTGTTCATGACAGGCCGCTGCGGCCCTCCAGACCACAATTTGGAAGACCCAGGTGGTCCAATCTAACACAGTACCTTTGCTGGCCCAGGCGTGGATACCAATACCACAGAGGTACCCTGTGCTTGGCTGGGTGCTTGCCAGCTGTGGGCACTCCCTAGGACCTGCTGGTCCACATACCTACCCAACTAGTCAGCAACAGGCAATGGGATATTTGAGCACCTCCCAAACTACAGTATAATTTTTTCCCCAGACCCTCTGTGGGAGGTGACATGATTCCAGCAAATCATTGCAACTCTTAGGAGCCAGCCCTGACTAGACAAGCATATTGTCAAGAATATTTTCCTCAGAAACCCACAGTTTCTGTCGTTATACGATGGCCCCAGAATAGGTGGAATTAGCTTCTGTACTCTGAGGGGATCTGGCAAAGCCTTTCCTCCCCCCAGTAATCTATCCCCGGGTATATTTTTGTCCAAAATTCTTCAGTCATAGATTTATCCCTTTGGCCAAGCATTGCCCTATCTGGACTCTTCTTAAGAGGAAGTCTCTGGTGGAGGCAACACACTACAGGACTTTAGTATAAATAGGATCAAAGAGGATCTTAGATGCACTGGGTACCAATCGTGGGACAGCCTTTCTGGCACTGTTCTGAGTGCTGTATGATACTAATTCATTTAATTGTCATGACAACCCCATAGAGTGGGTTCTAGCATCACCCCCATTTTACAGATGAGGAAATGGAGGCTTAAGAGAAGTTAAATACTTTGCCCAAAGTCACACAGCTAGTAAGTGGAGTTAAAAATTGGGATTGGAACCAATGTTTCTTGTCTTTCAGTGTGAAATTGTGCCAGGGGTCCCCAAGACCACCCCCAGCTTCACTGATTCTCTAGGAGAACTCAGGACAATGAGGACCACGCTCCCAAGAGTCCTCTTCCAGTGCAGTCACGTGGTACACGCTTAATTCCTCCAGCAACAAGTTGTGGCAACACGTGTGGAATATCTACCAGGGACGCTCGTTAGAGACTCCAGCGCCCTAGGTTTTTACTGGGGCTTGTCACATAGGCATCCTCTGCCTAGCACATACCAAAATTCCAGACTCTCAGAAGGAAAGCAGGTGTTCAGCATAAGCCACACTGTTTGTACAAACAGTTTAGGCCTGGTGAACCCCACTCTTACCAGTTCTGGGAACGGTGGGAACCCCCCTGAAATCCAAGCTCCTAGTTGTCAGCCCAGGCCAACCTTGCAGGCAGGCCTTTCTAAGGAAAGCACTCAGGCCTGCTACGCTAACTCTTTTTTTTTCTTTTGTGGGATCTTAGTTCCCCAACCAGGGATTGAACCCAGACCCTTGGCAGTGAGAGTGTGGAATCCTAACCACTGGACCACCAGGGAAGTCCTGCTATATTAACTCTTTAAGGCACAGATATCCTTTCCACTCATCTGTGTTTTTGAAAAGGGGCAATTTGCATTTTCCATCTTCTGTAAGCATTGATCCCCTCAGTAAATCTCACAGAATTGCTCAGGAGTAAATGAAAGCATGCCTAAGGGCACTTGGCACAGTGTTTGTCACACAATAAGTGGTTGATATTGTCATCCTCACTGGCTGCTTCCTGATCATCTCTGTGTCTCTTAGAGCTGGTAAGGGGCTCCAGTTAACTCTTACGCCTTCCCCACCCGCTCTCTCGTTCCCAGGAGGCCCCTATCAGGTTGAGGTCAACATCTCCAGCACCGGCAGGCTCCCCAACGGCACGCTGTATGCGGCCAAGGGCTCCCGGGTGGATTTCTGCTGCAGCAGCAGCTCCTGGCCTCCGCCCATGGTTGAGTGGTGGTTCCGGGCCCCGGATTCTAGCACCGAGCCCTTCGGAAACAACCTGACGGCCAGCTGCTTCACGCTGTTACTGATGTCGCAGAACCTCCAAGGGAACTACACCTGTTTGGCCACAAACATGCTCGGCGGGAGACATCGAAAGGTGACCACCGAGCTCCTGGTCTACTGTGCGTAAGAAGTGCTCCCCTCCCCCACTCCTTCACCTTGACCCTTCGTGAACTGCGTGTTTGTGCCTCCCCTTTGTATACAAAGACTTACCTGATGCACAGGTTCTAACATGCTTCTGCAGCTCCCTCGACACGCACGCACACACGTCAAAGAGAGTGTTGCCTCTTCTGGAAGCTTACTGCTAACTAGGAGTACAGGAGAGTCCCTGTGAGTCATAGATGGAAATTAATGCCAGGTCTAAAGTTTTTTTTTTAAATTGGGGTGAAAGTATATAACATAACATTAACCATTTTAAGATGTACAATTCAGTGGCATTGAGTCTATCCACAGTGTTATGCAACCATCACGTTTATCTAGTTCCAAAACATTTTCATCACCCCAAATTGGAAACCCCGTATCCGTGAATCAGTCACTCCCATACCCTCTTCCCCCAGCCCCTGGCAACCACCAGTCTATGTTCTATCTCTATGGATTTGCCTATTCTGGACATGTCATGTAAATGGAATCATACCCTATATGACCTTTGGGGACTGGCATCTTTCCCTTAACATCATGTTTTCAAGGTTCATCTTGTTGTAGCTTGTGTCAGTACTTGCTTTCGTTTCTTGGCCTAAGAGTATCTATTGTATGGCTCTACCACAATTTGTTTATCCATTCATCTGCTCTCACACTCTCCATGATCACAGGCCCTCTAGCGCTGTTAAGAACCAATAGTTCATGAATTTTTATTTTTCAGGTGAAGAATCAGCAACCCGATGCACCTATACACACATTTAGTGGAGGAAAACCACTGTAGAAATAAACACAGGGTGCACTCCTAATCCATGCTAACCGAAGGGAGCATGAGAATGACAATTTCCAGGCAGGGCAATGACACACTTACTTTATACGTTATTCAGAGCCTTTGTAAGTCTCAATGCTGTCCATCATAAATGACATTTATCGTATATAAAGTCATACGTGCTTGTTGTAGGAAACAGATGAGTAGAAAGAAGAAAATAATCACTTGTACTCTAACCATCATTTTGGTATATTTCCAATAATTTTTCTTTTAGATGCCACGTATCTACAAATAAGATCCAAATTTCTATTTATATGTATTATATAAAATATATAAAGGTATATGACATACATAATATATATACTATCTACATACATATATAATATATATTATTTTATATATAATTATGAACACATAGGTTACAACAGGTTTGTAATTTGTTAAATTTTTATATATTCTTTTAAGTGGTACTTGCACATAGCAAAAAAAAAGTGTGTGTTGAGGTTTGGGGATGAATAAATCTCCTTCCTCCTGCAGCTCCCTCTAGGGACCAGCAGCGCCCAGTAGAACTTTCTGTGATGATGGAAATGTTCTCTTCTGTATGGTCTAATAGCTACCATGTGTGATGACTAGGAAATGTGAGTAGTCTGATGGAGGAAATAAATTTGTAATTAAATTAATGAAAATTTAAATAGCCACACGTGGCTAGTGAGGAATGCAAATCTCTTCCAAGATTTAACACACAGCCGAGGAAACCCAACTTGTGTCAGGCACTAATTTGTGCTAGGAGCTATCTCAAGGTACACTAACTGGGGTTGACGTTTCTCTGATACCCTGGTTCTGTAACCCTTAGGGTCAGCCCAGTGGCTCATCTTAGTCTGTGATTAAGGCCACGTCCTCTGGTGTTTTGCAGCGCCCCCTCCGTCAGCCCCTCAGTGCTGGGCAGAGCTGTCGCCAGGATTGTTCACGCTGCAGCTCAGCTGTCGCTGGGCCGGAGGATACCCAGACCCAGACCTCCTGTGGACAGAAGAGCCAGGAGGAGTGGTTGTGGGGATGTCAAAGCTGGGGGTTGAGATGCTGAACCAGCCCCAGCTGTCGGACGGCAAGAAGTTCAAGTGTGTCGGGAGCCACATAGTGGGGCCGGAGTTGGGAGCCAGCTGTGTGGTACAGATCAGTAAGTCTGCTTTGCCTTGTCCTGGGGTTCTGGGGTCCACTCACCTTCCTCTTTTCTGGGACAACCCTTTGAAAGAAGGTCTGGGAGAGAAATCCCAGGGTGTTGGAGTGAACTGAATTCCTTCCATTTCTTCCTTCCTTTTCCATTTTTTTAAATTGAAGTATATTGGATTTACAATATTGTGTTAATTTCTGCAGCAGAGTGATTCAGTTACACACACACACACACACACACACACACACACTAATATATGTATACACACATTCTTTTTTATATTCTTTTTCATTCTGGTTTATCACAGGATATTGAGTATAGTCCCCTGTGCTATACAGTAGGACCTTGTTGTTTATCCATTCTATATATACTAGTTTGCATCTGCTAACCCCAAGTGCCCTCTTCATCCCTTCCTTTCAAACTTTAAAGATGCTTAATGAAATTTCTTAGTTGTAGTCCAAGCTGGTTTTCCCTTGCAGTTTCTAAGTACCGAAGATGGAGCAGTGAACAAGACAGACAAGGTTCATTTACTAGTTATCTCCTGTTATGGAACAAATTACCCCAGAACTTAATGGCTTCAAGCAACAGTCATTATCTCATGATTTCTGTGGGCCAGGAATTCATACAGGGCAAGGTGCTGACATCTTGATTTAGAACTTCAGACTTTCCGAACTGTGAGAATAAATATCTGTTGTTTTAAGCCACCCCGTTTGTGGTACTTTGTTACAGCAGCCTCAGGAAACCAATACAATGAGTAAGCCAGGGCCAGAGGGTGTTGGGTTGTGTTGGCCCTGGTGAGGTTGTCCTCACAGTTTATGGGGATAATCCTCAGAGGTGCAGCTGTGGAGAGCTGACATGCTGAGAAGTGAGCCCTGCTGTGTCAGCAGGTGCTTGTTTTCCCAGGCAAGTGGCATTCAGATGATTCACCCTTCTCACTAACTCATTCAGCCCACTGCTCCCGGGTGTCCCCTCTGTGTCAGGTACCATACCTGGCCTTGGGCAACAGAAGGGACCAAGACTCGCTTTCTGCCCTAGGACAGGGCTTGGTAAACTATGCCTCATGGACCAAATCCGACCCAATTGGTTTGGGGACCATTTTTTTAAAATGAGATTTAAGTCACATAATATAAACGTCACTATTTTTTTTATTTTTATTTTTTGGCCGCACCATGCAGCTTGTGGGATCTTAGTTCCCCGACCAGGGATCGAACCTGCGCCCTCGGCAGTGAAAGCTCAGAGTCCTAACCACTGGACCGCAAGGGAATTCCCTAAAATTCACTATTGTAGAGTTTATAATTCATTGTTTGTTTTTTTTAGTATGTTCACAATGTTATACTACCATCACCATTCTAATCCAGAATATTTCCATCACCCCCAAAAGAAACCCTAGCAGTCACTCTAGAAAGACCATGTGAGGGTACTCATTTCCCAGTATCTCCACCAACATCGAGTGTTATTAATTTTTTAGTTTTTTCCTGTTTACTAGTGGGATATGGCATATTGTTTTCATTTGGTTTTCTTTGATCACTGGTGGAGTTGATAATTTTCATATGCGTACTGACTTCCTATATATTATCTGTGAATTATCTGTTCATATTTTGTCCATTTTTCTATTGGCTTGTTCATCTTTTCTTATTATTCCATAAGAGTCAGTTAATTTCATAGAACTGTCATGCACGTTATAGATATTTTTCTGGCATATTTGGCTCCTAAACCACATTTCTGCTAGTGATGAGCAGTTTCTGATTTTGAAAGGTTCACCTCTGTCAGTCCTGTTCTTTTTTTTTTTTTTTTTTT